GATGTAGACAAAACATTGGACAAAATCCAATATCCAAACATGAATAACAACTTTTAGGAAACCAGGAATAGGAGAAGTTCCTTGGCCTATTATGGTATGTACCAAGGGGGGGAAAGCTCTAGAATTGACTGGTAAAGGACTGAGTGCTTGCCACTGATACCGATGACAAAGCAATGATATGTCTGGTCTTTCTTCTACTCAGCAGCATGCTGGAGCATCTGTCCAGTGCAGTAGGACATGAAAAAGAAAGGAAGGTAGGTACTGGAGAGGAAGATTGGAAAGAAATGAAACAAACATAATAATCTGCAGAAGAAAAGTTCATCTATGAAGAAAAGTTGTTTTAAAAAACCTACAAAAGTTAAATTGGCAAGGTGTCAGGATACAAAGTCAATATACAAAAATGAACCATATTTCTACATGGTATCAATGAATCAGAAATTGCAATTTGGAAAGTACCATATACAGGAGCAAATCGGGATCTTGTGAAACACTAGCAACATATGTGCAAGACTTGGATGCTAAAAGCTGAAAACAACAGTAAAAGCAGCAAAGACTTAAACAGAGCAACAGGTTGTCTTTATGGACTGGAGAACACCAAGATGTCTGCTTTCCCTGAACTAGTCTACACATTCAATACTCATCAAAATCCAAGGTGTTTTTTGTTTTGCTTCTTGAAATCAATGAGGTATTGTGTGTGCAAAAGCAAAGAGCCAGGGATTTAACTCAGGGGTTTTGCCCCCTGCTGTGCAAGCACAAGGACCCGAGTTCGATCCCTGGTACAAAATAAATAAATAAATAAAAGCAAAGAAACTAAAATAGCAAAGTAAACTTGAAAAGGAATACTAAATTATTTACACTACCTGATCTCTAGTCTTACATAAAATACCATCAAGATATCATACTGGTAAAAGTGCAGACCTTACACTAATGGATTAGTTCAGAAGCAGACTCATAGTCAACTGATTTTCAACACAAGTACAAAGAAAAAATATCTTGACCTACACATGGTATCCACTGTATATAATTTTTGTGTCTCATACATAAAAACTCAAGTGGATTTAGGGCACAGTGCCTGCCTGGCAAGTACAAGGTCCAGAGTTTGATCCCATGTACAAAAAATTTTTATAACCTCATATTAGGCAAATATTTCAGATTTGCCAAAAGCATAATCTGTAAAAATTGACTATGAGAATTAACTACTTCTGCATTTCAAAAGGCACTGTTTAAGGGGAAAAAACCCTGATTGAGAGAAAATATTTATAAAGTGTCTGATACAGGTCTTGGATCCAGATAACAAAAACAAGGGTCATGCTAGAAACACAGAAACAAATTATTATTATTATTATTTTGGTACTGGGGATCGAACTGAGGACCTTGTGCCTGCAAGGCAGGCAGCAGAACCACTGAGCTAAATCCTCGGCCCCAGAAACAAATTATTTTTACTACATCAAAAATGAAAGGGAAATTTTCCAGTATGCACCATAATAATTATCTCTAGGAATGTGTCCTAATAATTTTACACACCCAGCCTGCTCTAAGTGTGTTCATTATCTCCATATTCCTACTTGGAAAAATGAAAACAAAAATCAGTCAACAATGGCCTGGGTTAAACTATGAGGTATGCAATACAAGCAAGCTAGACTACGTAGAAAGGAAAATCTTGGTTACAGAGACTGATACAGGAAACTGTTCAAGGTATGTTAGAGAAATAAAATAAGAAGCCATTTTCTATTAAAAAGCGGTAAGCTTCTAAGATAGAAAATAAAATACATAAAAACATGAATGGGTGTTGCCTGGTATTATTGGTGGGGTACTGTTCTTCTTTAAAAGAAATAAAAACTGTCCAAACAGCGTGCACTTGGAACACTGTTTACTAAAAGGAACTTAAGACACTGCAGTTAAGCCAGCAGATGTGCAGCACAAAATCCATGCTGTCCTCGTGTGGAAAACGAATTGCACACAGCTTCTGACTTTCCAAAGGTCTGGGCATAGGTAGCTCAGAGCCATCTTCCAATCTCATCTTGCATAACTCCAATAAGGTGAGACCACACCAGGCACCACGCTGGCATCTGGGCTCTTGCTCCAGCACTGGGTCTTCACACATTTACTACACGGGTCATGCTGCACTGTGGTCTTACTTGGGCATATAAAAATACCCTGGATTTAGCCTTCATTTGGTCACCAATGTGGTTTTTAGTAATAAAGCTGTTCTAGTATAGAAAAAGAACTTCCTGTTTAAAAATACCTCAAAAATGCTATTCAAGACTTCACCATTGACCCCTAGTGGGCAAGCTGTCAAATAACTTGTTGCTATCTATCCACTCAACAGGGAACTTAAGTAGAATATTCTAAAAATGCACAAAATAGTACAAGCTTTTCCCACGCCAGTTTTATTTTATGGTGCTGGGGATTGAACCCAGGATCTTGTGGATGCAAGCACTCCACCTCTGAACCACATCCCCAGCTCAACATCATCTGCCAAATTCTTTGAGAATTCCTTTAAAAACAAGCTTTGTAGGAAGGGAAGGACTTTTTCTGTTAACAGTAAGCCTGTAAAGTGGGGGTTTGTAGTAGCTTACATAATGTAGTACCACTCATTTAATAACTAATTTGTTCTGATTCATACGCATTAATTATAAAATAAAGCAGAATGTTTTCAAGACTTCTAGGGTGAGGGGTGTGTAAAAACTGTTATCCACGCACACACACAGCTTAAGCTATCAACCACCTGAACAGATAAGATACCATAAAAAGTGGTGGTTTCAAATACAAAAGAAGGGCCAGGGATTTAGCTCAGTGGTTCTGCCACCTGCCCTGCAAGCGCAAGGACCCAAGGTTCAATCCCTGGTACCAAAAAAAAAAATCAAATACAAAAGAAAACGGACTTGAGGCTGGACGACATAACATACACTTATCTCTATTTTCTAGGGAGCAAAAGCAGCACTTGATTTTGTTCTTCCTGAAGTGCACATTGCTACCTCCCCTTAAATTTATGTGGTAGAAAAAAAGATGCTGAAGTAATATCCACAGAGAAGTAGTTTCAATTTCACTAAAAATGCTTTTAATCAGTACCGCTTAGCTTTCACATATGAACAATTTTCTAAGAATAAACACATTACTCTTTTGAAAGTTACACACCAAGAGCTTCAAGATCCATGTTTATATTTTATATCTCGGACCAGAATTAACTTTCACATTGTTTTTTTAAAAAAGCCTCATGATTTTGAAAGGAAAAAAGGTACATAGATTTTTACTCCAAAAAGACTAAAGGATTCAAAGAAATTAAATACCTAGTAGTTGTTTCATAAGCATATTTACATAGATTATAAATTAACTACTATCACTGCCCAGCCACAAAGTAAAGATCAGAGGAGATTAATAATAAAAGTTCTTCTATAAGCTTCTCAAAAGGTTAAGAGAGAAGGGATAGAGTATGTATATTAGTAGCAAGAGAACAGGAAATACAAGCAACTTGACAAGACTAAGTTTATTCTGTAATTTTTATTAAAAAAATTAATGATGACCATATAAAATGAGTGGCTTGGGCTAATATTTTGCTACACCAAAGAAATTAAAAAATACTTGAGTTAAAGTTACAATGATTTATCATAGCATTCCTTGATAGAGGCATTTTTAATTTTAGCAATGTTTATCTTTAATATTTAAAACTAACTCTTAAGTATCATGGATGAGAATTATCATAGCTACAGACAAATCAAAAGAGAATTTCCCAGAGCTGTTTGCTGGTATTATCTCAAGAAATACAAGCAAAGTGTAAGGAAAGCACCTCCCAAAAACATCTTCTGTAAAGTTGTCCGATCAGAAAAGACCACCACTGATACTTCTGATAAAGGAATATCAACCCCACCTGCAAGTGTGAAGAATAAATAACAGATTTATGAATGCACCCAAGATCCCCAAATAAATTAGTAAAAGTGCCATTAAGAATATCAGACATATAATCGATGTGTTTACAAATTCAAGTGCAAAAGATACAGTAATTTTATTACATAAAATTTCTCCTGTGTGCTAAAACTTAATTTACAAGACATATTTGTATAACGGAGAGGAAATTATGGTGGAATTATTTTTCATTACCAAAGAAAAGAACAATAGGTAATTGGAATACAAGCACTCAAGAGTCCTTTATATTCAAGGTTGTTATATTACTGCTCAACCAAAATATACCACCAATCTTTATAATATAAATGCCTGCTCGATTCATCTTTTAAAAATAAAGTCCATCTTTTTCTCCATTAAAGCTTCTGCAGGACTGACAAATGTGCATCCCACCTATTAAAACCCAGGGTCCTCTTCATCTTTGGATATCACCACTTAAGGAAAATGCAGTCATTTACAGATCTAAATCTTTGAGGCAGCAGATGAAGTCCATTCAGTATTTTTTGAACACTGTACCTTTAAAGGTTTGTCTTTAATAAAAGCTTTGGAAAACGAAAAACAAGAAAAATATCTATGGCAAATTACATTTCATTTTGATTCTGATTTGATAGTAAAATATAAAAAGTATTTGATGAAGTGTCAATCTTATCTATGAAATTACTAGATGTTAGTTTTCTGCTTTTATATGACAAAAAAGTTTTAACTTGTCAAAAACAGTAAGTCTTTCAGTTAGTATTTAGTAAGGCAAAAATGAAATTAAACACTATAAAGTCTTTAAAAATGAAGTTCCACAAATTTGGTTCTCATTTACAATAATTTCATGAACAGATGAATTAAGTATAGATACAATGTATCCAATACTCAGAACTACAGTAAAAAACTTTCTAGTAGCATTAGAGATCATGAAACCCTTCATACCAATATATATTCAGAACATGTTCACACAGAACCAATAGTCTCCTTCTCCAGGAAAAAGAACATTTGTTAAAAATGACAAATACCAATAAAGCAATGGAAACCCATTTCATTTCACTGCGCGTAAAGGTATTACACAAAATATTGGCTTAAAGAGGTAGATTAAAAAGAAAAAGAAAACCGGATTCTCCATTCTTTGTCACTTTTATTCAGTAGTAGTTTTTTTTTCCTTATTTTCATTGCCAGACATGGCAAGGATTACAGCCAACTGTTATTAAACATTTGTTCGCAACATACACCCCCTTTACCACTGACCCCAAACTCACTCATTTTGTGTGCTTTCGTTTGTTTTTCATAATATACCACCACCAAGACTGGGTGGAAGGGGCAAGGGTAAGAGAGATGAGGGGGACAGTCCAGGAGGCCAGAGAGGAGGAATGCTACAAGCCACAGTAAGAATGAGCTGTATTTAATTTAAAAAAGGGGAAGGGGTGTACCCCACAAATGATACAGTAATGAGGATACACAATTAAATCCCATAGCATGACTGAAGGCGTTCACTGTGTTTGACGTCATCACAATGGAAGGCATAAAAAGTGGAGTAAATCAATGTTGACACAGTCCAATCTAGTCCATTAGGCAAGATGGTGCAAGAAGTCATTTAAATTAAAAGTGCCCTACCCTTACCTAAATGGCTAGCAGACATGGAGAACACAGTGAGGAAACCACAGAGCTTTCTCCATGTAGCTACAAACATGTGTTGTCGAATGGCACACTGTCAAACACTGGAAGGGGTGCCGCATGGACCTCTCTCTTATAAGTATGAATGCTAGATTCAACTATCTCAACTAAGGAGGAAGTGGGCTCTTCTGCTAGGAATGCCACCTCTAATTCACTTTGTCTTGAAATATATACAGATTGTTTGTAGTAGCTACAGCAATGATGTTTTCCTTGGGGTGCCAGGCTGTATGAAGGATTTTCTTGTTGAAATCTAGGCTGTCAACACTTATTTCATCTTTCTTTCGCTTGCCGCTTGCACAGACTTTGCGTGGCTTCAAAACCGTGCGAGGCTTATTGTTTTCTCGTGATGCTTCTAGGGTTATATCTCGCTTTGTGTTCCTGTCGAACATTCTGAAGAAATTATTGTAAGATCCAGTCATGACAACACTGTAAAAGTAGAACACTCAGTGAAACAGGGAACCCAAGATAGCAAAATGGTTCAGTAACTAAACCTTGCCTAGGACTCCACCTGAGACATCTACTTCAAGCAGCTTTGAATTAAGAAACGGGGTACTCAGGGCTGGGGATTTAGCTCAGTGGTTTCGCCGCCTGCTAAGCAAGTGCAAGGACCTGAGTTCGATCCCCAGTGCCCGCCCCCCGCCGAAAAAAAAGGTCTTAAGAAATGGGGTACTGATGTCAACTCAATCACTGAAATAAATCTAGTCATATACTGGTTATGGTTCTATGACTAGCAAAACTATTAGCAAAGTCAAGGGCAACAAGTAAAACTTCTTCTAGGGCTGAGTTATTTTGTTGAGTATTTTTATAATTACAGGCCATGTGATCAACCAGATTAGACCGTTTATTGAAGCAGACTGTGGAATTCACATATTCTAACCGGCTCCATAGTGCATAATATCTATCCAGAACAAACTAATGGTTTATTTTACATGTAAATTATAAGCTATTTAGCTCATCCCAAAGTAGTCTGGTTAAATACACTACTGAGAATGTTAAAAAAGCAGTAAAACTGTTACTGATAGGCAGTTTTCCTATACCACATAAAAACATCTTAAATACTTTTAAAAGCATCAGTTCCAAGGAGAACCAATTTCTAGCCTGCTCAGGATATGCTGTTGGTGGGTACAGAAGTGGGTGGCCTCACTCTGCCGCCTAGACTGGTGATGAACTCGTCCTCCTGCTGCCCCAACCTGCCAGGCAGCAAGGACAGCAGGGTCGTGCCACTGTGCCCGCCCAGGACATGCTATCCATTCTATCTGCCATACATCACTGGTCAACACTCATCAAGCGCCCACAAAGGCAAAAACTTCACAAGTTTGGAACTCCTGACAGTTTGGAAAGGGTCTGATGTCACTACTATTTACCACTTCCTTGCCACATGGTTCAAATTATTATTGTAAATGAGATTACAGGATACTAGGGAATTGTTCAAAGTAACACTTCATCTGTTACCTACAAAGAATTACAATCTATTCAGTAATGTCAATTTCTCTAAAGGATATTTGACAAAAATTTTAATCAAACTCCAGTTGGTGTATGTTCCTGAAAATAATAAAACTATTTCTTTTTAAATGAGTTAAGTAAATTGGGTTGGCATACCCATATTATCTGAATTCATGCCGGGGATTTAGCTTAGTGGTTCCACTGCCTGCCTCAAAAGCATAAGGTTCCAAGTTCGATCCCCAATACCAAAGAAAAAAAAAAAAAATCTACCTCTAAGTCAGATGTGGTGGCGCATGCCTGTCATCCCAGCACTGAGGCAGTAGGACTGAATCTGTGAGGTTTTCATAGATTAAGGATGCCTACTCTTTAGCTATTTGTACTTTTACAAAGATTATCATTAGGTCAGCACTTTTGTGGCATTCCTGACAAAAAAAAGGTATAACCCGACTCTAAGCATAAGAAAATATCACACAATACTTGAATTAAACATTCTAAGGGCCAGGTATGTAGCCCAGTGGCAACTTGCCTGCCTTGGAAGCGCAAAGTCCCGTGTTTGCTCCCCAGTACTGAGAAAGAAAGAAAAAAAAAAATCTAAAAAATAATTCGTCTATTTTTCTTTAAATGTCCAGGCCATAAAAGACAAGGAAAGAATAAAGAACTGTCCCAGAATAAAGGCAACTATAAGATATGACAAATAACTGCTAGGGAGGATCTTGAACTGAGCCCTGTGCCACGAGTGTCTTCTTTGCTATAAAGGAAATGACTGAAGTTAGATGGAATTTTAACGGGGTCTGTGGATTAGATAGCAGCACTGCATCGGTGTACCTGTTTCTGCACTGTCATTTGTAGTACAGTGCTTTTTGTCTTGTAGGAGACAGTAAAGAATTTAGGGGTAACGCTGATCATGTTTGGTGTTTACTCTGCACAATTTTTAAGTCTGCATGTGTCCACCTGCATGGATTTTTATGTAGACAGGTACAAGCTATAAATAAGGACAGAAGAGACCACAATATAGCAAACAGCAATGAGAGAACCTGAGTAAAAGCTAAATAAAGAGTTCTATCAAATTTCCTGTAAGTTTGAAGTTATTCCAAAAATGTTTAACTATTAAAGGAGATATCTTAAAACTGCTAAAAGCACGAGTTGTAGCAATGTTCCATATATTCTATCATGTCAATACCTTCTTTCCCTTCAATTTCTTCATTTCTCTTTTCTTCTTCCCTTCTAAGGCCTCAGCTCTACTTGCAGTAGTCCAAGGCACTGAGTGATCACCCCTATGAATGGGCCCCCCTATGTTTTAGTGTGACCAGCCTATTATTTATTGGGTCTCCTGTTAAAATCAGGTGATTATATAATTTAAAAACTAGACAAAAGATAAAAATTCCAAGTTCTACTACCTTCTATAATGCCTAATTATCATGAAACCAGAATATTAACTTCTGTGATAAAATTATTGAATAAAATCTCTAGTCACTTTAAATACAAATTTAAATAATTTCAAAATTGTGTTTTCTTCTTTAGCTGGAGCACAGTGAGTGGTAAATAATATTGACAATTAAAAGTAAAACTTATTTATCATCAGAAAGAATGGTATACATTTTGCTGAAATTGTAAAAGGGAACTGTATTTACACTGATACAAAATTTTTTATTCTTAAAAGGGTAACTACCCACGACCATATTGTATGTTAATACTCTGAGGTATTAATGCAATATATAGAGAAAATGGTGCATACAAATCTAAAGAATCTGCTGCCTAAATATTTTAAGGAACAGTTTAATAAAGTAACAACCAAAGTGAAAAGTCACTATTTTAATTAAGTGATGGCCATGTCAGAAATGTGGTTTTTAAATTTTTTTCTCTTTGGAAACTGGGTCTCGCTACACTGTCTTAAACTCTTGTACTTAAGTGACCCTCCTGCCTCAGTCTCTCAAGCAGATGGGACCCCAAGTGCGCATGGGTGTGCCAATGTGCCTAGCTAGAAATGTCATGTATCTGCCTCATAAAAGGGGGAAGTTTTAAGATTTTTAAATAATAATCTAGATATCTATAATTTCCTGCTGTAGATGATTTGTGTCACATTTACCAGTGACTCCAAAGCTTAGTTGCCATCTGTCAGTACTGCTATGCCCTAAGATCACGCCATTTATTTTGAGAACTCCTTGGGGAAATGAATTCCGGACCTGTAAAATCTAAATAATGTTGACCACATTCTTAACTAATGTGGCAACTATAACAGAAGCCATGAAACAAGTTTCTATTACCTAATACAATTTGTATTTGAGAGAATACAAATTAAAGTCAATTACCTGTCAGATCCATTCCAACAACATTCAAATTTGTCAAATATGCAGTCATTTTCATACAGTGAACAAAGTTTACTTCTGAGGTATTCATGCACCTGGGGAAAAACAGATATATACATATTTATATATATGTTTGTGTGTATGTGTGTGTGTGTATGATTTGCCTCAAGAGCTATCCACTTAAATCAGGAAAATGATTAATATGTCACAAAAGCATATGTATGCAGATAGCACACACCTTTTGATCATGTTAAATTTCAATTCTCTTAGCAACAATTAAGTGTGTTTTATTCTTTTGGGAGGCACATTTCCCTACTGTCCAACAGGGGAAAACTCTCTTTTGGGTACACCACATGTACCCAGATAACCCCAACCATCATATTTAGGCCTGAAAATTTTTAGCTGTAAGGTTTTGTTTTTTTTTTTTGGTACCGGGGATCGAACTCGGGTCCTTCTGCTTTCGAGGCAGGAGGCGGAATCACTGAGCTAAATCCCTGGCCCTAGGCCAGAAAATTTTTGAGAATGGCAGGTAAGAGACTAACAAAAGAACATTACAGCAGCATGTGATTACAATTAGTTGGCTTTCAGTCCATTAACTGCTGATAAAGCACTGCTTCTGGATGCCACATCCAGGCACAATCGGTACCGGTTCGGTGCTCTGTGCACCCTCTACACAGTGCAGTGCTCAGGTCTGTGCTCCTCAGTTCTGATGGTTACCTCACAAGTGCCTCATTTAGGAATCTGACTACATCACTCTGTATCACTATGTACCATCAAAGACTAATGAGGATGTACATTCTCAATTATAACCCTATAAAATTTCATAAAAATGGTAAGCTAAAAAGAAAATCTTGTATTTAACAAGTCCAGAAGTACACAGGAAAATTTCAAAGTATTTGTTTTGATGAGAGGGAAGAAGGACCATCTATCCGCTATCCCCTTTTTACTCAGAGAGCACCTTAAAATGAAGCAATGGTAACTTCTACATTAGAATTCTGTAGGAAACAATCTATCATCATTTCAAGTGTACATTTACTTTAAACAGTGCAATGATTCAAGCATGTCTCCATGAGATGAAGTGAAAATCTGTAATACAGAGCAAGGCGGCTGATGTGGGGTTAAAGATCATGTCAGCAAAGTAATGAGAAAAATAGAAAAGATCAAAAAATGTCCTTCAATCACATACAACTCGGTAAGATGACCATAAAAATTCAACAAAAATACCTGAATCTATATGAGCTACATTTGCACACATGACTATTCTCAATCATTAAGCCAATTCATCACAGGCAGAAATCATCAAATTAGTAACATTTTAGGTAGACTACTCAAACTCAGCAATGTTTCACAATATACACAGTACATACAGGGTTTCTCACCAAACAATTTGAGAGTATGAAGCTAAGGTTCAAATCATCAATTCTCAATGGGAATGGGAAGATAAAGAGTTAACTAGTTCTATCAAAAGCATACATTGAGGGCCGGGGATTTAGCTCAGTGGTTCTGGCCTCTGCCTTGCAAGTGCAAGGTCCCGAGTTCGATCCCCAGTACCAAAAAAAAAAAAAAAGTAGACGTTGAGCCAGGGATTTAGCTCAGTGGTTTCGCTGCCTGCTGTGCAAGCACAAGGACCCAAGTTCAATCCCCGGTACCCAACCCCCCAAAAGAAGTACAATATTTTAGGGCCGGGGATTTAGCTCAGTGGTTTCACCGCCTGCTGCACAAGCGCGCAAGGACCTGAGTTCAATCCCTGGAACCAAAAAAAAAAAGTATATGTTGGAAAAAAAAAAATATATACGTTGAAACAAAACAGTATGTGATCTGCCTTTGTTTCAATTTCAACATAGTATTTACTGTACTTTGAAATTTCTAATACCATTAAGGAGAATATTGAGTGGTTTTTGTCTGCCAAATAGGATTTAAGATTTAAAAACTTTGTCTCAATTTTATTAGGAATCTATCACATAAAGAAGGTATCATTTATGAACTATAGTCCTAAGTCAGTGTGTTATGGCTTGTGTCTAAATGTCCCCCCAAAGCTTCATGTGGTCATAAGTGGGGCTTTTTGGAGGTGGCTGGATCTAGGGTGCTGGGATTAAGTGTGTAATGCTGGGATCAAGGGTGAGTGATGACTAAATTAATCCACTGATTGGTTTAGCATAGTTCTGGGTGTAAGGTGGCACCACCCAAAAAGTGGGCAGCCTGGACGGATAAGAGAGAGAAGGCTGCTACTTCTGCAGCTGGTGCTTGCTGCTTTTCCTGCCTTTCAACCCATGAACTGTTTTTTTCTTGTTTGTGATGCCCCTCTGCCATGCGACCCTGTCTGGGGAGCCAGCTGATTAGGGACTGAAACCTCTACAAACTGTGAGCTGAAATAAACCTTTCCTCCTTTAACTTGTGGGTGCTGGGTATTTTGTTTCTGCAATGAGAAAACTGAGACAAGACATCGTGTTAAGTGTTTTTTATCCTAACAGGTTTCTGCCGACCCTACCCTGTGCTAGGTTGTGTATTTTAACCTCTTCTCTCTGATGTAGTGGACACAGAACAAAGGTAGTGGCTGGTTGGCAAAGAATCTCAAGCTGACCAACATCCTATAGCCAACAGGCAGCTCCTAAAGCCATCTGATGAGATTTCAAGGCCCTCTGCTTCAGCTTAAGGCAACAGTTTCCAGCCAAAGCATGGAATTCAAGTCCATCTGACTCAGCAGGCAAAGCTTAAGCTCTTGATCAACTACCACCACACATTCTTCACCCCAAGAGAACCCAACCAGCACTGGCTGTGCCCCCCAGTCCTCTTCCCGCCCTGACCCTTGTGCAGTGTGCTCAGACCTTCTCATTTAAACTACGCGGCAGCACATGAAGTTGTTAATACTAGACTAAAATGGGTAACAAAATCACACTTTTAAAAAATTGAACTGACGCCAGGTGTGGTGGCGCACACGTGTAACCCCAGTCCTTGGGAGGCTGAGGCAGGAGAATTGGCTTGAGTTTGAGGGCAGCCTGGGGTACATAACGAGTTCAAAGCCAGCTTGAACTGTATAGCAAGACCCTATCTCAAAAAGCAAACAAACAAAAACAAAAAACCAAAACTGAACTGACCTCAAAAATTATGTAGGTATATACACATTAAGCATATGGGAAGGTAACAGTTCATGGACTTCAGGGAAAAAGCCTAATGGTAAACAAACTCTACTGGGATTAACACTTTGTACAAAATCTCCTTTAAACACCTGAAAGTATACAGGATTCACGGTCATTCAAGAAAGAACTGCAAATACCTGGTATGTTTCCACAGGCCTGTTTTCCATATTTAAATCCCAAATTTTGACTGACAAATAATCTCTAGTCATCATATAGCGACCACTATGGCTGAATTTTACATCAGAAATAGAGGAGATGATTTCGGAAAAAAAAGACCGGTTACTGGGGTCTTCAGGTTCTTCAAACACTAAAAACAAGCATAAAGAAACAGAAGGGCACGGTGTACCAATGGTCTAGTTTGGACAGATCATTTTTGATACAGCCATTCACAAACTTCCTGGCAGTGAGATAACAGGCTTATAATAAAGAAATGAAAAACATCTTGCTGGCTATACAAGAATGTAATGTAATTCCCTTGAAAGTTCCTTAAGAAAATGACTTAACATCGCTTCTTGGCCTTTTGGCTAAGATCATGTGAAGAAAATGACTTAACATTGAAGTTGACGATAAAACAATATACAGTACACTTCAAGAGTCATGTGCTTAATTCAGCAGAACTACACTCAGCTGGGGCGTTTGATTTCCAGGCACCAGGTTGGTATATTCTCAACATTCCTGACTGATTTTGCCTGTATCACTGTGGGAAACATACCATCCTCAGCCATCCAAATTCGTATCAGGATTTTTTTTTTTAATGGTCAGCTAAATTTACTCTGATAACAGGGTCTACACCTGTTTCCAAATTTTCAAATATAATCAAATGAAAAAGAATATTGCAACACTTTAGCTTTTTTTTCATTATTTATGATTGTTCTGGTGATCACACATGCTGGCGCGTGCTCTATCACTGAACTATACCGTTAGCCCACAACCTAGTGGTTTTCAAGAAAACATCTTCTTTGAATAAATCTTCCTAGGAAGATCAAAACAGAAAATAGGAATCAGGGAGGAAGAAGGGAGACAAAGAACTGGTTTACTTGAATATAGGGTTGGAATACTATAAATGTATGATCCTTGGGAATGAACGGCAAGTCCTGAGGGCCCCGCTATCTATGCTTCTGTAACTGGGAATGCCTCAGTCAGGAGCCCCAGAAGGTGCAGGAGGCCCTAAGCATGTTTCTGGTGCTAGTTTCAGAAAAAAGATTATGTTACTATTTAAAAATATATACAATAGACATACATACATTCAACCATTCATGGTATTGGGGGCTGAAACCAGGGATTCAGGCAGGCTAGGTGCGGCTGTACCCCAGCCACACCCAGCCCCAGACTTACGTTTAGAGTGCCTATCACAGAGGGCCGACGCCCTCATGTCACAGAGCCGAATGGTTCCTTTACTGCTGCTGTACACAAACGTGTTACAGCTGTTGGGATGGAATTCTGCAGCTGTGATCACTTCTGTGAGCTCTTCCATGTTGGCAGGTTTGATATCCACAATATCTACGCAGCATTTTATTAAGGAATTTCACTTTCAAAAAGGGCAAATAGAATTCTGTATTTCTCAAACCCAGAATTCACTCATAGACTTAAAAACAATCACTAAAAAAATATGTATGTTAACAGTAGTAGTAATGGCTGCTACCATTTATCAAGAATTTTAAAAATATACTTTAAATATATTTGCCAGGCATGGTGGCACACACCTGTAATCTCAGCACTTAGGAGGCCGAAGCAGGAGGATCACCTTGAGTTCAAGGTCAGTGTAAGCTACACAGTGAGCTCAAGGCCAGCCTGAACTAGTACATAGCCAGAGCTGCCTCAGGAACAAGCAAAAAATAAATTAAAGTAAATGTATTTATAGCATTTCTACATTTCATATATGTATCAGTGTGCACAGGTCCATAGGTTTACATCACATACTTACATACGCACAAAATTTTAGGGGCCTAATATACAATAAAAATTGGATTTGGAGAATTTCTACTGACTTTATACCATCAAGTATCACAACTTGAGTGTGCTTATTTTTCCAGCCTTGATTGAAATGCTTTTAACAATTAGAATCAAGTATACTATCCTCAAACTTGATTTTTTTAAACAGAAAACTAAATTACAAAAATTAAAATTCCTATTTTCATAAATATAATAGACAAAGCCCTTATAATTCCATGGACTGAATTTTGAAATCAATGCATTATATGTCATTTATCCTTATAAAGTAACCTCCCCCAGTGTTTAGTCACTTATATACAAAGAAAAAAAATAAGATTCCACATATATTAAGACACTATACAAGGAAGGAATCAAGTATACTAAAGAAGAAAATAAATTCAATATGGACGCAATATGCTTTCTTTATCAAAGGCCAAAAAACAAAGAAAACCAAATGGATACTAAAACTCCTGTCTGTAATTTCCAGGTGCCAAAGATTAATCCGCAAATCATCTGCAGATAAGTAAGTTTCATAATCACTATTGATAGAAATGGAGTTGATGTGGTATGTATGAGCATTGGCAAATATTCTTCGAGGACTGGCCTCTACCATTAGGTCCATGGGCCTGAAGACTGGCACCTGTCAATAAGACACAAAAAGCAATTTACAAAAGGCTCACTGTTTCAAGCAGGCGTAAATGGTCAAAACACTTCACTGTTCTACAAGAGAATATACAGATTTAGGTTTTGGGGGTGGACCGAACAGGGATCGAACTCAGGACCTTGAGCTTTCGAGGCAGGCGCGGTGCCACTGTGCTACATCCCCGACCCCTGAGATTTAGTGGGTTTTTTTGGGTACCAGGGATCGAACTTGGGACTTTGTGCTTGGGAGGCAGGCGGTGGAACTCCTGGGCTAAATCCTCAGCCCCCTGAGATTTAGTTTTTAAAAGCAAGTGATACTGATCCTTCAAAAAGTGTTGAAATGGGAAGAGAAAAACCAATAATTTAGACAATTTTACCTTCTTTTACCAGAAGCAATGCTACTAAAATTTGCACTTCTTAGTTCTTTTACTTAAAAGATGTTCAAGACTAATGCATTTTTATGGTTCAAATTAATGGATCTAAAAAAATTCTTAGTGCTTTTACACTACAACCGAAAGACACTCCCACCCCCACCCCACGCTGGGCGCTGAACCTTGGGCCTTTGCACTAAGCTATGTCGCCAGCCCTTTTTGGTCTATTCTTTTGATATGTGAAGAAAAACTTGAAACTTAACCTGCTATTAACAGCTGATACTTCAACCACAAAAGCCAAAGAAGAGCAATATAGCATAAAATATTCTTGTGTTTGGGTCCTGGTTCTGCCTTTGGTCACAGTAAGACCACTACGATTCAGTTTCTAGAATGAAATGGGAAATAGCATCAACACGTTACAGAATTGTTGATGGGAGCAAGAGGTGGAAGTAGGACACTTTAACTGTAATTACTGCTATTCAAGTCCTCCGAATCTGGGCTACATGACATGAATATAAAATCCTATTCGTCAGCACCATTTTTTTCTTAAGTACTTACTCGTAGTGTAGTAACTGTAGTAGGATCTCTATACCTTCCATCCTCTTCTTTCAAGTTATACCCTTCTGGTCTTTTGTCCCTTTCACTGATTTTCCATAATTTTATTGTTTTATCTAGGGAGAGAATAAAGAAAACTCTTTTTAAAAAGGTAATACTGATAGAAAAACCATTTAAGATATTTTTAAAATGCCATTTCATATTTCACCTGGAAGTTTTAATATCCCTTATCTAATAAAAACCTATTATCATGCTAATAAAACATATACTATTTATGTAAAAATACAGTAGAGAAATGACAAAGTTATAGATGAAATGATACTCACATGAAATTCCATGTGATACTCAAATCAAGCCACAGCCAGCTCTTATCTTTTAAAATTAAAGCTATAGGGAAAAACTGTGTATGTATGTGTAGAAACAAACATTTATATGACTATGCATACAAATATATACACATACACATATATGTTTAGTTTTTAATTTATGAGGTAAAGAAGCAGTATTATTATTATTTTTTTTTTTTTGGTACCAGGGATCGAACTCGGGTCTTTACGCTTATAAGGCAGGTGGCTGAACCACTGAGCTAAATCCCTGGCCCCATTTATGAAGTAAAGAGAATAGCTTAATGTTGCCTAGTATTCAGAATCAAAATGGCAAGGCGTAACTCCCTCAGTCCCCTTTTTAGCAGTTCCCTATCAATGATTCCACCAACTTTTTTGCATTGATGTCTCCATTAAATCTGGTTTTCCTCCCCTCTTGTGTCAGAGACTGCTGAGTAGGAAACTGGGCCTGAACAAAACTGGCTGCTGAAAAACATGTGCCCAACTCCTGTACAAAGATAAAATTTCTGCATACAAAGAATGCATGAAGTAGTACCTTTTAAAAATAAAAAATAAACTTTTATTTTGGAATTAAATTTAGATATGCAGAAAATTTGCAAACAGAGCAGTCTTCTCCTATGCCCTTCTACCCGTTTTCCTCAAACACCAGCTTTGTAGAGAGCTATGACACATTTACCAAAACTAAGAAATTGACACTGCATGTTACTATTAATGAAACTCCAGACTTTACTCAAGATTTTACCAGGTTTCTTACAACATTCTTGTTTGATTTCAGGACCCAAACATCACTGTATTTAGTCATCAAGTCTCCCTAGCCTCTTCCACTTGAATTCTATCTTAGACTTTCCCTCATTTTTCTACAACTACACGGTTGTGAGTAGTGTGGTTAGGTCCCTTTGTCGAACGTCCCTCGCTGGTTTTGCCTGCTGTTTCTCATGATCAAACTGGGATCTTGGGTTTCTAGGAGAGCAGAAAGATGAAGGGACTTCTCACCGCAACATTTAAGGGAATACACAACATCAATGTGTTATGGCTGGTGGTGTCAATTTCAGTCACTTAGAGAAGTTAATGCCTGCCAGTCTTCACTATATAATTAAATTTATTCCCCCCTTGCCATATTCTGTGTGGAAGCTTATCACGTCCCTAATCATCTTTCATGCAAAATGGGTATAGCTAAAAATTTTAAATAATGTATAAAGCCATTTGACAAAAGCATTGTAAAACAATGTAATCTCTATCTGCCTTGTTTTGAACACTTGGTGTCCCTGCAGATGCTCTTCTCAAAGATGAAATATAAACAGAAAAACTGCTAACTTTAGTAACTCAACAACTGCTTCTAAACTCTATGTGATCTTGTTGATAATTCCCTTGCAGCTAAGTAATAGGTCTCTGTGTACTACTAGTTTTATATGTATTTATATAACCTAGACAGATAAATAATCGTTGCCTAAATTCCGTATTTTATTTTATTGTTTTTAGGTACCAGGGATCAAACTTGGGACCTTGCGCTTGCGAGGCAGGTGCTGGAACCACTGAGCTAAATCCCTGGCCCTAAATTTCGTATTTTAGAAGTATTTGTTCTGAAATCATCATCACCTCTCAGCCTTTTGGCTAAGATCACGTGTAGTATCCGAAATCATCATGTGCAGACAATGAGAATGACAACCTACCCCTCTCCCCAAAGTTGTCTTGTGACCTATTTAAAATCATAATCCTTATTTAATAGCCAAATAGAAAAATCACAATATAATTATCAAATTTTCAGATGGGATGAAATTAGTTTATGGTCTTTATTGTATTACAGGATAAAAACCAAAAATAAACCATCCTGAAAAATTTTTGAAACATCAAATTTGTAAAAGAATGTGACAAAATGTTTACAACTGTTTTTTAAAATAACAAACAGAGGCTATAGCAGTATTAAGATAAATATGTGACTTCAGTTCAGGGCTCTAGGGACAAGGCAGGTAACAAATTAATACATGACATACAAAAAATTTTTTTTAAAACTAGAATTTCTGGGCCATATCTAGGAGATGATATGCAAGAATGATCAGACTCCATAAAACTACACTCAGGATTAGGTATACATATATGCTCTTCTGGAGAGGATTATTAGACCATCCAGAGCTGTTTCTTGTTTCCCTAAGTGCCTTGGTAACTGACATGCTCCAGAGGTCCAAAAGTCCCTGTATGCCTGCTGCCACAAGCAGGTGCGGGAGCAGGGAAAACCATGCAGCCAGTCAAGTCTCCCTTGAGGGAACACAGCTATTAACGAGATTCAAAAACTGCCTATCAACAAGCTACTTACAAGTGAACTCTGTATTTTTCACATATTTAAGGCTCACAGGTTAGACATTTTTTGTGATGTCAAATTAATGAGGATTCAGATAAAGGCAAAAGAAGATTTTTTAAAAGAGAATAAAAACACCTAAGAATTATTAAATGAAATGAAGTTACTCCATGGCAGTAGTTTCTAATTTTGAGTAAAGACCCATTGCAGAAGTGTTATTATATTTCATAGAAAAAAATTATACAAAATAAAGAAGTTACCCATATCTAACAGATATTGACATTTTCCCCAAATCTGTTTTACTTTTCCTTTTTGATGGTCCTAGAAAACAAAATGAAGGGCGCGCCTTAGCCTTTTATTTTGAGGGCAGGGTCTCAAAACACTACTCAGACTGAGCTTGAACTTGGGACCCTCCTGCCCTGCCAGCTCCTTTTGGTCCTTTTAACTAAAGCTTTGTGATGCAGCTCAAATCCTACTCCTTCCACCCTTCCCATTTCATCCTGCCCAGGCACAGAAGGTAATGAAATGCCCATACCTGTTTTATCCTTCCACATTGGACCCTACTTGTTAACACTATTGTCAGCCTACAAAAAACAATGCAATCTCCTGTTACTTGTGTTTGACTTAGAATTCATTAACAAATGACAAAATTCAACAATGTATTCTACAGTGCCTTTAAATGATTTATAATGCTAGCCAAAGACTTTTCAAATATATGTACCCCACGTATGTATGTAGGAGACACGGTTGGTTCTATCTATAGATGCTAATAACTATGCAGGTTCACATCCCTGCCTCATCCCCTGGAATATCCCAGTGGCTGCATTTGCACCGAGCCTCTGCAGGGTCAAGAAAGGCTCATCTGCTGGCTATGTGTTGCTAAAGCTGCATGATGAAGCCTCTATGGAAGATGTATGTGGATAGAAAAAGAAGTGAAAGACAGCTAGGACTTAATCCATACATGAGTTAAAATGGAATCTGTTTCCACAAAACACTGTGAAGGAGGAGAAGGAAGAAGTCCTGAGAAATGAAATGGCCACAACCAGAACTGCTGAACCTGGGTGACCGGTCACCAGGGCTTCTTTATACTGTTCTCTCCCCTTTGGCTCACATCTAAAACTTTCTTTTTATAAAAAGTAAAATGACTTAGACTATAAAAAGAGAACAGTCATAATTATTAGGAACAAATTGTCTAATATAGGAAATATGTAACATTTTCCTGGGGACTACTCTCTTCTAATAGTAGAAATTAAACAGTGTAATTACATATTATTTCATATTATTTTACATCCGGACCAGGGATTTAGCTCCGTGGTCCTGCCACCTGTCTCACAAGCGCAAGGTCCCAAGTTCAATCCCCAGTACTAAAAAAACCCCAAACGAACATTTATCGTATTATTTTACATCCAACGGAAGTGTCTGAATGCTATTGTTTGACTGGTTGCTTGACTGATTGATTTTGAGGCAGGGTCTCATTGTATAGTCCAGGCTGGCCTTGAACTCACTATGTAGTCCAGGCTAGCCCCAAACTCACAGCAAACCTCTTGCCTCAGTCTCCTGACTGTTGGGATTATAAGTGTGCACCACCACACCCAGCATGAGTGCTATTTTAAATAACTTAGTTTATTATATAAATTAAAACTGAACTAAGATTATTCCAACATATGACAATAGTAAACACAGTTCCTCCACCTATGATGCTGGGAGTTATAGATTTGGCAATATTTTGAGGACTGTGTTACCAAGAATTCAATGTAGTGGGCCAACAGGCATATCAGCTTAGATTCTGAAAATGTTAAGATCTAAGTGCTAAAATTTGCTTTTCTTACTAAATGAGGATGATAAAATGTTGTAGGGAGCATTTCTACATAAATTTGGGGAAAATCATTTCATAAATAAAAGTATGATTATAGCTGTCTAAGGCCCAAAGTTGCCTTGCCCTAAAGCTGGCTACGGTGTGGGGGAAACATAACTCCATTTTGCCCCGGTCACAGCTGAAGCCTCAATGGCAAGACACCCTGGTTCCTTGAGAAGCCAGCAGTAATAAAGAGAAAGGTTTCACCAGGGGAGGGACAAGTTCCTTATCATCCCAGCTCATCCCACCTACTGAGGTGGGAATGCTCTCCTTTCTGCCCTCACAAGATCTGCATAATCAGCCTCCAATAAAATGTGAGAGGTTTGGCCTAGCCCTGTGCCAGCTTCAAAAGTTTTAATATCTAGGGCCGGGGATTTGGCTCAGTGGTTCCACCACCTGCCTCAAAAGCAAAAGGGCCCCAGTTCAATCCCCGATACCAAAAAAAAAAAAAAAAGTTTTAACCTAAAGTTTTATAGACTACACTTCCTGGATCCTAAAGCACCTCTAACCCCCTCAATCGCTCTAATGATTCTCTTTAGACCCAAGACCCCAAGGGTAAAAAAAGTTGCAAGAATTTAGGGGAAAAATATTAGAAGAACAGAAAGAAATTCTTCAACATATAAAGGACTTCAAACTGTGGCAGTCATTACACAATTCTAATCTTCACTTAATAACTTTCCCTGGACAAGCACAGTATTTAAAAAGTCATCTCCTGGCCATGCGGTTGTGAGGAAGAAGGCAACATGCCATGAAGACAAGTGAGAACATCTGGGACATATCATCCTTTTAAAGAGCACTCTACATTTAGTCCGAAATACTTGGAAAGGAGGAGGAAAGGAAATTAACATTGATTGAGCATTCACACTGAGTAGAAGAATTAACACATTTAGAACTCATAATACCATAATATAAACATTATTATCTCCAGCTCACTGATAAAAGAGAATTCTAGAAACCTCCCCCAGGCTACTAAACTGAGAAGTAACAAACATATAATCATATAATCAGCCTAAATCCAATGGTGATCTTTTCAATACCAACTAGATATGGGGTAAACAAAAACTGGTACCAGAAGATCTCTCAAGAAATCTAAAAACCGCAAGTAAACAATAAAAAACGGCAAGAAGCAGAGTTTACATTTCTATAGGGAAGAAAAATTTATAAACATCTCTCTCTACAATATTCCCCCTGAAGATGAAGTGTTATCTATGGACTGTGCACACAGGGGGCATGTGAAGAGTTGTACACTTACCATTGGTAGACAATAAAAACTGAGCAGCATTTTTCTGGGGTAACCATCTAATTTTGTTGATCTTTTCTTCTATTTCTAAACTTTTCAAGTAGTCAAATTCTGGTTCATGGCTCTGGAAGGTGCTGTAAACATTATATTCTCCTCTGCTATGAGACTGGATTTTGTTCTAAAATGGAAACAAAAATATGTATACCATTGAGAAATATTTCAAAATAATCAAATAGATAATTCCAATAAACCCTGCAAATTCTGAAGAGCACAGTAGATAGCTCTATCTTAATTATATTCTAGGTTCTACATTTAAAAGTCTTCAAGGAATAACAAAGCTTACAAGAGAAGAAAAATAGGCTTCATTTAAGAGCAAAACAGTAGATCCATTATGGATTAACTTGATTACTAATTACTATTACACAGTATAGTCATACACATTTTAAAAACCTGAACATCCATAATAGAGGAGTTCATCTGAAAAAAGCCTGCCCAAAAACAGCTGGCAGAGGAATACTTGCTTTGTACACTTTAGGGAGTCAATTTGCTATTAATATGATATTTTGTCCTCTTTTTCCTTTCTGATGCCTATCTTCTCATTGTTTCACTACTGAAAAACTCTTTAAAAGAGAATAGTTCTTCAAATGCAATGATTTTTTAAAAATGATCCCATTTGACCTTTACCATTCACCCAAGATCACTGTTAAACTTTGCTACAGATAAGGTACATACTCAGTTACCCTGTAGTGCACCCTGCGCCCCTACCAACTGCTGACCCTTCTTAAATCAGCCTCATCTTATGAGCCTTATGCACACTGATGATTTATTTCATTTATCAGTTTCAAAAAATGTAATTTAAACTATTAGATAAAGACACACTGCGAACCTCAGTTAACACTAATGCCTCAGCAAGACTGAAAATCAGGTTTACAATCTTTTTTTAACCTATCACATGATAAAAAATGTTTTCATCAAAAAAACATTAAAAAGTCTTGTTCAAAGAATCATCTAGGGGGAAAGTTTTCAAAACATAACTGGGTATTACTGACAGACAACTATTTTAAGTAAAAATGAGTTACCAAGTGAAATATGTTAGGATTACTTGATAATAAGAATAGCCTATTATTGTTCTCTGTATCAAAAGAAAACACCATTAAAAATGTCTTTGAGGGGGCCGGGGATTTAGCTCAGTGGTTTCACCACCTGCTGTGCAAGCACAAGGATCCGAGTTCGATCCCCGGTACCCAAAAAAAAAAGTCTTTGAGGTACATTTTTAGGTTGTTTTTTTTCTCAACTGCTTGATGATCTGGATTGTTCATCCACAGATAAAGTTACATTTGAACCTCTGATAAAAGTATCACTAGTGATTTTGCCTATGTTAAGAAAGCCAAGCACACCATGAGCATAATCCACCTTGGTGCTATGCAGGGAGGCAAATCCACAGCCTTAGTCTTGTTACCACAGTCACGCCCAAATTAAATGGCCTGATCAATTAAATATGTACATTCATATCACTTTAGAGAACACCTTCCACCTAAAATTATTCACCTAGTCTCACAAGGTTCAGTATTATAGCAAGAAAATACAGTAAACGGCAATGCAACTTTTAATATGACTGCTGTTTTAAACTTCTGAGTTTCATTTAATACTCTCATATATAACATCATAGGTCTACACATGATGTACTCTGTGATTAAATCAACTGCAATGGACTACAAGAAACACCATCTCTTTGCAACAGGAAAAAATACCTCATACAAGGAGGAAATTAGGGCTAAAAAGATGCCACAAGCATTACCTTCTCCTCTCCTAAAACATTAAATTTTAAGACACCCGCAGGACAGAGTAATGGCAAGGGTGACAGCAGCAGTAATATAAAACATGCATCCGCAGTAACCAACAGCAAGCCAGCTGCAGAGGGCGCCCTCAGCCGGTGGTGGGCCTTTCCTACAACTCAGTGAGAGGGTATAGACTGCAATGACAATTTTGGCAAGGCACACACAGTTCTCTGTGCTGACCAAGTAGAGTGGAAAAGAAACATCCTCTCATGTCTGCAACACTGTGCCATTCAAATGAGAACGCACCAAAGACATCTTTCTGGCTTTGGTTTTAAAACTACATTACAGAGAATTAGGGTACATTCTTGAATGCCTCACACTTGGGTTTTCTCTTAACAGCCCTTTAGTGTTAACCTCCCTCTTTGTCTTAGTTGCCTGCAGAATCACTATGAGAATTCATTTTCCTCACCATACACTCTATGTACAAGTACATGAAATTTTCCATAAAAATTTAGATGTGATTGATCCTTGACACTTACAGTAACATCTCCCATGAAACAGACATTCAACAGATTTCTTAATAAACAGCAACAGCCAAAAGAATGAATAAAAGATGGTGCTGATGTGGTAAGGATAGTGGGAGTTCACTTGCTAAGCACAATATGATGCAGAACTTAGAAGAAATGGGTGCCATGTTTCGCTGAATATAAGACCTGGCATGATTTTTCAGGATGCTCGTAAGTCCTACATCCAAAATAAGCCCCAGTTAAGATCCTCAGCCAAGCAGACATATTTAGTATGTCCATTGCAACACACGGACATACTGAATTATATAATACCAAATGTGATTAAATATGAATAAATATTATTGACATTAATAAGTAAATGATAACATAAATTATAACTGAATATTTGTAAACACCCAAGCAGGTACCTTTGGATGAGAGGTAAACACCTACGTAAACAAGACGAACTCAGGACTTACTGTTGAATAACCAATTGGACCACAGACACAACGCACCAATAACCTGTGCAATTGGTAAACGGATGGACATGGCTGTGTTTAGTATGAATCTTCCTAATTCAGCACATCATGTGTTGTAATGGATGTACTTAATGTACACATGTGAAAAACATTTTCTGAATTTGCTGCCTGCAATTTTTCACTGCTTTTGTGTGGACCGTCATTCTTAGCTGTCATCAGTTTTGTTGCCACTCCTGTCACCTAAGTCTTTAATCAACACTTGATTTAATGGACACTTTGTGAAACCTCAGCCTGCAAGAGGTTGTGACTTGGGTGAAGAATTCATGGGATAAAATCACAGCCAACAATGTCGCCAATGCACTCGGAGCAGGCTACATGAACAAGAAGTACTCATTTAAGGAGAGAGAGCTCTACTGCTGGGCATGAGTGACTAGGGCCAACGGTTCCACAAGAAATGGGAGGCACAAGAAATTCAGGCCAGAACTTGGGACTTGGGCTGTTATGATGTTGCTCCAGGAGAAGATGACATGGCTGTATCTGAATACATCTAGATTTCTGTACATAAATAGGACATTCCCTGAAAATAAGTTCTACTGCTTCTCTCCGAGCAAAAATTAATGTAAGATGCAGCCTTGTTTTGGGGGGATATGCAGTAAATGCACAGATAACAAAACAGAAGGATTTCAAAAACAGTTCTTAGTGAAAAAGTGGGACCCCTAAGAAGACCCAAGACACATTTTACATTCCCTAAAAGCACAGATGCAGGGGCCGGGGATTTAGCTCAGTGGTTTCGCCGCCTGCTGCGCATGCACAAGGACCTGAGTTCGATCCCAGTACCAAAAAACAAAACAAAACAAAAGCACAGGTGCAAACAGAATCCATAAATATATAAAGGATTTTATATCATACCCAAGTTTTCCTTCTTTCCCTTAGTGTTTTGTGGTGCTGTACAATTCAATAGCATTGAAATGACGAATCATTTGGAAAGAACTTCATTTCTTACACAAAAGTAAATTCCAGGAGAATAATGAAATGCTGAAAGCACATAAGGGAGGGTGAGCAGTCTATGCCTGGAGGCTGGCCAGGCAGGAGGGTCACAAATTCAAGGCCTGCCAGGTCTACATAGTGACCATTTTGAGACCTTGTCTTGAAATACAAACAAAAGATAACAAAAATATAAGTGAATTTTTATATGAAAACGGAAGTATAAAAATGAATGAAAACAGCAGAGAAAGACTGACATCTGACAAGGAAAATATTGGAAAGTAATAAGAAAAAGTATACGGGGAAGAAAACAGGCCTTAAAAACCTTTAGGAAAAATATTCTCTTAAAACATGAGAGCGGTCATAAATGAAGAATCCAAATTAAAACGGTTAGTAAATATATGTGTAACTGTTAATCTTCATTAGTAATCAAGACTAGGCAGTGTTTTTCTCCTTTAAATTGACAAAAAAAATTTTAACTGACAAAAAATTTAAGTGAAGTTATGACTATTTCAATGATGAATAGGGGAAAGTCACAGGCTACTTGTAGAAATATAAATTTACACAGCTTTTCTGAATCAATTCCCCAATAACTGAAAGTCTTCAAAAATTTGATGATATATCATTCCATGCCACAGTATAACCCAATTTAAAACAAAACAAAAGAGGGCCAGGGATTTAGCTCGGTGGCCTTGCACCTACCTCGCAAGCTCAAGGTCCTGAGGAGTTCAGCCCCCGTTACCAAAAAAAAAACAACAAAAAACCCAGAATGTGTGCAAAGATGTATACACATCAGGTCAAGTAAATTATAAAACAGTATACAGTCAGTTTGTACTGCAGATGGGCACTTCTCAACCATTTCAATGTAGTGCAATGCTTCCTGCTATCCTCTGCCAACCCGACAAGCTACATGTTCACTAAGCCTTGTTACTGAAGTTGTAAAAACAGAGTATGATCCCAATTGCACATGCACTCTGTTCTACTCAATGGATCCAACAGCAGTCTCTTTACCCGCCTGATTGAGAAGCCATTATTTCAACCTGAGGAAACATGCACCTTATGTAAAACTAAAAGTCACTAATTGATAAATGTACATGATTCCAATTAGAGAGATAGAGATAGAGAGAGAGAGAGAGAGAGAGAGAGAGAGAGAGAGAGAGAGGGAGAGGGAGGCCTCAGAAAACATGCTCTTTCTCTCGCATACAAAGATCTTTTATTCCTATGATGAGATGAGTTGGATTATTTTATTCTTGGAAACATCAACAGTAACTAAAGGGGACAGGGCAGTCTCAAAAATGCTAGTGAAAGTACCAGTGGGTCAAATTTCCTAGAAGGCATTTGGAAATAAAATGTTAAAAACCTAAAAATGTTCGCATCCTTTGACCCAGGTTCTAAGCAAATAACAGATGCTTAAAAACTCAACTACAAAAA